CTATAGAGACATTTGCTGGCGGAACATTGGTAAAACCATTCATGTAATTTCCGAAAACAGAGAGCTTATCTTTTAATACCTGGTATACTAACCCGAATTTAGGGGATAATGCTGTCTGTGAATACTTGTCTGCAGCCGCAGCAGTTTGCCCTCCATTTTGAAATCTGTCTACGCGTAAACTGAACATTCCTGAAAGCGCTGGGGTGAAGTTTAACACATCTGATACATACGCGCTGTAAACTTGTTGATTTGTATTACTGTTATTGTAACTGTTTGCTGCAGCTATTGCAGCATCTGCGTTTTGTTTGGTTAGTACTCCCGTATCAGTTCCTCCTAACGTAACCAAACCTAAGGCAGCATAAGCTGAGCTATTGTCAATAAATGTTCTGTTAAAGTAGTCAAGACCGGCAACAATTCTATTGCGCATACCACCAATTTGAAAGTCGCCTGTAAAGTTCTGTTGAATATCAGTTGTTTCTGTAGTAGAATTCTGGTCACTGATAGAACGGTCAAATTTAGAAGATCCGGCAACAGATTTAGAGGATTCATACAAATAAGAGTAATAACCATCAGATTTTGCTGTACCTCTGGAAACTACGGTTTGCGAATTCCACTGAGCTGATATTTTATAATTCATTTGTGCCTGCATACTGGCAACCGGAGTCTTAATGCTCAGGTTATTATTTGTAAATGATTGTTTAGGATCATAGTTTAAGCCAGCCAGTGTATTCACTTTCAGTGCAGTACTTCTGTCGAAAAAAAGCATCGTTGGATTTGTACCTTCCGCACTCAAAAATTGAGTATTCAATAAGAAGGATAACCTTTCATTTACTTTATAAGACAGAGATGGCGCGATAAATCTTGTTTTCTTAAATCCTGCATCCTGAAAACTGTTCTCATCATGGTAAGTTGCATTCACCCGGAAAAGTACTTTATGGTCTTGATCAAGTGCTGTATTAAAGTCAGCAGTTATTCTATTCAATCCATAACTTCCAGCAGTATAAGTAACATCTGTTGCTGTACCATCAAATGGTTGTTTGGTTACTGTATTAATTAATCCGCCGTAAGAAATTAAACTGCTCCCGAATAAAGTTCCTGATGGGCCTTTAAGCACTTCAATACGCTCCACATTAGAAACATCCAGACTTCCATTGGTTAATCCTGGCAGGCCGTTTACCAGTGTAGGCTGCACAGCAAAACCTCTGAGAGAAAAATAACCCGCACCGTCTCCGCTACGCCCTGTAGAAGACCATAACTTATCAATTCCGGGAACGTTTTTCAATGCGTCATCATAGTTAGTGATCTGCTGCTCTGCCATCAATTCTTTAGAAACAACAGTATAAACCTGTGGATTTTCGAGATTCTTCAAAGGCATTTTTGCAACAAAATTACTTTCTTTCACTGCGAATTTATTGGTTTTTCCACCACTCACAATGACCTCTTTTAATTGCTGACTGGAAGCAGTAAAAGTGAGGTTCACGCTTATCGTTTCCCCTTTGTTTACAGTCACGTTTTGGAATACTGAGTTTAATCCTACCAGGCGTGCAGCTATAGTGTAAGTTCCGGCTGGAATATTCTTCAACAGGTACTGACCTTCTTTATCGGTTGCAGTGTTGGCAACGCCTTTAATCGCAACCATGGCCAGTTCTACTGGTACCCCGTCTGATGTTTTTATAATTCCTTTAATTCCTCCTGTTTGAGCGAAGGAAACTGAAGTAACCAGCAAAAGAAAAAATGCGGTTACAGCGACTTTTGTTGTAGAAAAAAGCATAAATATTGGTGTGTATTGTTTGAGGTGACAAACTTACAACATCAGCTGATCACTAAATAGTTATTATTTAGACTGATTTAAAACAAGACTTTAAAATGACAAACAAACCTAAAGGATGCTTTCTATCCTCAAATCTTTCCTATTGGATTTATGCAGGATACTAAAATAGTTATAGTTGATTAAAGATTCCGGCTTGCATCCAGGCCGGAATTTTCGTGTTTTATTAGTCTGTTATTTCAATGAGCGGAGTATACTTCCTTCCTTTCCAACTTCAAGCAGGTGCTGGGTTCCGCATTTCAGTGCAAAATTAGCACGTTGATGTCCTGAAGGAAAATTGAAACAAACCGGGTAATCATATTCCTTTACTTTCTCCATCACAATTTCTTCGGTTGTTTTACCAAATATTTCACCCGGGTCATCTGGTTTGGTACTAAACCCGCCAATGATCAATCCTGCAAGATGAGCTAGTTTTCCTGTACGCTTCAGATTCCAGAACATCCGGTCAACATTGTACAAATATTCACCTGTATCTTCCAGGAACAGGATTTTACCAGCAGTGTCCAGATCTGATTTTGTACCAGAATTACTGGCGATAATACTGAGATTACCTCCTATGAGCATTCCTTCGGCCTTACCTAACCGGTTTGATTGTGTTATGGGAGCAGTATATTTAAAATCTTCGCCAGCTAATGCTTGTCTGATCGATAAGATTGTAGAAATCTGTATGGGTTCTGCTTTAGTCCAATCGTCTGGAAAGCTATTACACATTTTAGAATGCAGGGTTGCAATACCAAAATTCTGATTAATATGGCAGTGTAAAACGGTGACATCACTAAATCCGATCAACCATTTAGGGTGTTTGATAAATTCAGTAAAATCCAGCTGATCAATAATACGAACAATACCATAGCCACCCCTGGCGCACATAATTGCTTTGATAGCCGGATTGTCTAATAATTGTTGCAGGTCTTCGAGCCTTTCTTTGTCTGTACCTCCATAGGTAAAATCTTTCTTCCCTATGGTTGAACCAATTGTAGTTTTGTACCCCCAGCTTTCGATCAGCTGAACAGCAGGCTGGATAGCTGCTAAGCCAATAGAGCCTGCAGGACTGGTCATGCCTATGGTATCACCAGGTTTTAGATAAGGCGGGATTTTAATCTTGCTGACTTCTTCTTTTACCGAAAAATCAGCCCGGCTTTTTAAGCTGGGAAATATGATTGCTGAGGCGACCAGAGAGGAAATGAAATATTTTCGGTTCATTGGCTTCATTTGTGATGATTAGCTATTATCTACTGGCAACAAATCGCAAAACCAAAATCCACTATTACTTTTCGCAGGCTGGGCTGAACAAGAGTCATCAGCTGTTTTAGGGGCTTGGTATTCCCGGTAAACCTTCTCTCCTATTACAAAAGGAACAGGCTTATTGAAGATAGGGCCATCAAAACAAAAGGTATGGAATTCGCCATGCTCTCCGCATACGTCTACATTCGAAGGCAGGTCTTTCATGAAGTCCGTATCAATAATTCTTCCTGCAAATTCCTGATCGAGTAA